TCCCGTTACTGCTGATAAATCTACGCAACAAAATGTTAGATGCCAAAAGTGTCTAGTTTCAAAACTAGGAAATGTGATGTCAGTCACATTGTATTTGCCACGTTCTGTGACTGCCTTCGTCACCAATAACAAAGAGTGGCGGAGAAGGTCCGTTACGTCATCAATTAGACAATACCTGTGGGACTAGGCCTTTTCTTCCATCTAGTTCGTTTCGCCTTGCTATCGCTCTTCGGTTGTTTCCCATCTCCGGCGTGTCACCTTTGATTCCGTCGTAGATTGCTTGTCCTTCCCTCTTCGAGTCTCACTTGCCTCCAGAAGACCTGAAGGTGCTGGTTGTTTCATCAGAAAACAAAAGTATATTTAACTTAGGACTACCCCACGTGTGAGTAGACTTTTGAAACAGACTGTAGAATTGCTGGTGTCTGCTGAACGAAGATAAAAATCTCTTTCCTTTTGTTAGTATTGGCAAGAACTCTGCCACTCATCTGGAGACGAGTGTGAAAATGTATAGTCCAGTGCAGTACACGTACAGTAAAACGTTACTAATTCGGATTACCTTTTAACGTAGGCCCTGTGCCCTATGTAATTTTATCATGCAGAACGTAGATTTGACTACACGAGGACTTAATTTTTACAGTTTCACACTTCCTGTCGGATTAAATATCTGTCGAAAAGCACATACAGTATTTAATTTGTACTGACAACAAAACAATTTTCTTTTGAGTGTAAACATTTTCTTGAGTTTTCTTATTATTTAGGCGTATATACGTGCTTATGCCACGTAAGCTGACGTGTTCTTTCTTTGTAAATATATTTACTTGTTTCATTGTCTACGAATTGAGAATGATTACATGTATATATGTTGTATAATTCGGGATGTCCACTAATTCAGACTACGCCATCCCCGTGTTTGACCATATTAATAAGGTTTTACCGGCATTCTTCTTCCCTTCGCAATTGTCCGTACTTTATCGGCCTTGTCCTCTAGATATAAATGTAGTGTCCAAAAAATTATTACATCGCACATTTAACATTTTGTTTGTATTTGCATTTTGTTACATATTAAACAAAAGTTGTAGAACTAGACTATTTTCCTTTCAATTATAATTCTTTTCGGGTTAGCTTTAAAAAGAAATTTTTGTTTATCAAAGATAATTTTACATTAATATGTATTCTATATTCTGGGAACGTGTTTAAACAAATATAAATATATTCAGAAGTGGACGTAGGACCACGGAGTCGTGTCAGATATTGTAAACTGTAACAAACAGATTTAATACATGTAATATCATACTTAGGCAAAACAGTCTTCGTACTATTTTAGACAGGCTTTATTTAAATTTAAGAGTGGGGTCTATTTTCTAAATTTTATTATTCTTTTAAGAATCGTGTTTCGAAATGTGATCAAGACATTTGTTATTCACCGTCCGGGTACACGCTGCTGAAAGCATAAATAAAGTTCCAGCTTATGAGTTCTCACTCGTAGCGGTAAAGCTTCTTGATGTCTTACTCTTTTGTGCGATGAAGATGAAATAATGCTTGATGATGGTGGCAGTTAATGAAACGTTAGAACGCATTTTGTTCGCAATCTTTGTCCGCTCTCCCTGTCTCTTCTCTCCCCTTTTCTTACTCCCGCATTTCTATGATCTTGAAACCTACAGTCGACGTCATAAAATTTATAACCATTGCTAACATTTACTGCGGAACTCAATGACATCGTTTGACTCTGAAACTTCAGGAAAATTACGTACTTGAAATTGTCACATAGAACTTTCAGGTCGTTGATTACAAGTTTTCTCTAACGTTAAAGACTCTTCCTATGCTAAAATCTATAGCTCTCATCTTTGTCTTTCGTTTAAAGTTGAGAATTTATTCTTATAAGACTTCAGTAGTAATGTTTTGTCGGTAAGTTATTCTTATGGTGATGAAATCGATGTTGGTAGCTGAAGGAGTTTTTGAGATATGTAAAATATTTTCTATTTCCGTTTTTATTATATCCCATCGCCCTCTCCTTACACATTTACGTTATATGTTTAAATTCCATAATATTTTATAGTTTTATTAATTTTCCAAGTGAAGGAGTAAGTTTGTGTATGATCCAGGGTATATTTTTTGCCTTTTAAAGTGCAGAGACAGCGCTATACGGCATATATTTTAACTGAAATAATAATTCTTACAGTAGGGCTTACACCATTCTCTTTCCTAGTAAATGTGCTGCTCGAAAAAACCGTTCTCTACAGTTCTCTTAGAAAATGTGACCTGGAATGTTATCTAAACTTCTTGGAGTAGGATTTGAGTTCCCACGGCGTTGAGTCCTAAGATGGCTGTCTTCTGGGTTGTAGCGCAGTGTAGTCTGGTAGACGTTTACCAGCGTTTCAGAGGTTCTGATGATGTAGGCAGCAAGGTCCTCTGAAACGTCCGTGAACTTATACCAGACTTCACGGCACTGCAACCCAGAAGACAGCCATCTTATTTCTGAAGTCGTTTCGACATGCTTTCAATTTCCCGTGTAGTGATGATGCAGAACTTTTCGGTTTTCTTCTTAAGGATACATTTCTTGTTACTGTTACTAACGTCGAGCTAGAGTACCCATGTACCTTAGCATTACATCGTGAAGTGTTGGCGTGTAGGTGAATCTCCACTCACACTTGTACATTTCGGTCGCATTACCCACTGAGGAAAGAAATCTGGCAGGCATTGAATTGGGTTGGAGGCTTTGTAGGCACTAAATTCCGTCTGACTTGTATCCCGTGGCAAAGATGAAAGTTTTGACCATTAAATCGAGTATGTTATTAAGATATAATAAATATGGGTCTGTTTTTCTTAAAAATAATTTATATATAATAATAACTACAATTGTCAGTAAATAGACAAATAGATTCTTACATTCTGCCGTCACTGACGGAGTTTAGAAATCCGGTGAAGGATGAGAATCTGTAGATCCTATATACTGAGGTAGCTGTAACTTATGCAGGTCGCCAAGTGAAGTCTGAGAACCTGGGATTGGTTGGGCATGTAGTTAG